ATAAACGTGCAAGTGATAAAATGCTTAATGCAGCTCATAAATTAATTATTTGTGGTAAGTCACAAGGGGTACTTAGAAATGATGTCCGTGTAATTGGTGCTAGACAAGTTATAGCCACTGAAAGTCCAGGAATTAAACTTTATAAACAAATTAAAGAGTGGCCAGAATGGTCTACAAATCCTTAACTTTCCTTATATTTCTATAATTGAAGTTATACGCAGTTCTTTAGGCTATGGATATAATTAAAGGTTAATATTTTGATACGAATATAATATAGAATTTTAAAAAAATGTTAAACAGTGAACATTAAATAAATTTACGAGATGCATACTTAGTGTGTTTTTTTTCGCAGATATATAACTAATTACATATTCCTTAAGCAGCTATTTCTTTAAGAACTTTATTGTTATTTATTAAATTATTAGTTCAAATTTATTTAAAAACTGTGCACTTTACAATAAAAGTTTGCCTTCTGATTTATTATTATTTATTATTAACCAAATGATTTATTTAGCTTCGTTGGAGTTCTAAAAGTACAACAACGATAACCATATTAAATTTCGGGAAATGTTAACTTGAACGAAAAATATCATACATCGTAATATTAATTGCCGCACCTCACAGTGCATCATTTATATGAGCGTCCAGGATAAAAATCATAACTTCAAAGTTAAATTAATTCTCGACCAAAATGCCTTAATAATTTGTCAAAGAAAACACAAACATGCTTCGATTTGCATACAAAAATTACACGATCTTATAAAAAAATTCCCTTTTATTGAATAAAAACTACTTTCATGCAAATTTTCATTAATACAATTTATTGTTAGCCAAATGCTAAATAACTTTTGTCGGAAAGATTTTTTCATGAATTTAGCATTAGTGTTTGAAAATTCGTTATTTGTTAAATAACTCTAAAAATCGCAACTTTTTGCAAAAAAAGTTTTTATAATACCAAAATGAAACGAATAGTCGGAATAAAAATCCCAGGGTATTTTTAGCCGTTTTTTTTTAAACCTTATCTGAACTGTAGAAAAATAAATTGAATTTAATTATTTAATTTCGGAATAATTATTATATTGCATATAAGTATTATAAAATTTTTGTAGATTAATTACAATCATATAATGCCTGACCATCACTTTCTACACAGATTACTTCGTAAAATGACCTTTTGTTCGTAAAACAAGTTGCGTTGTGAACTAACGCACTATTTACGTTCCTAATAATCACTCGATAAACTTACTTCAAATTAATTTCCTACTGAATTTTTTCATCATTCTAATATGATTATTTAAATGTTTTAATACGTCATACATATAATTTTTAATAATTATTATTTTTAAATTTTGTCCATTGACGGCCTCACTGTGCATCGAATGGACATATTTTCCTTTATATACATTTTCTTATATTATCAAAAACAATCGAGATATTTCAGGTGAAGATGCTATGTGTAGGTAACTCAACTTGAATAAACGCGTACAGTACAATGTTTCATTAACCCTATAGCACGACGATACCTCGTTACATTTAGTGATAGGCAGAAATACCAAAGGAGGAAATTGTTTGGTTCCATTCGATAAATATTATGAGAAGCACGTTTTTCATGAACATATTTTTCGAAATTTTGTACCTACTCCTATCATTATTATGCTGGAGGTCAATGAACTTATACCATTATGATCTCAGCGTGATCTTGAATATACAAATTTGAAAATTCTTGATAATACATACAAACCGGTAAATTAGTATTAAGTGTAACGAATCTATGTATAATGTCCTACATCCTATGAAAATAACAGGAATGTGTTTATTAAACATTTGTATGATTATATTTTGAATACGTACACGGATAAATAAATTCATTTAATAATTCTCTACGAAAGTATTTCACAATTTGATTTGTTCTATAGTTCTTTATAAAAATATTAGTGTTTATTACAATCTTTGATATTTATGAGGAATACATACTCATAGTTAACGTGATATTTTATAAATAAATATTGAAAATTTCAACAAAAAATTTCAATTGGTTTCATACCACTGTGTAGTAATTATTTATATCGCAGTCGTACTCGAACTGCGTGAATTATATATTTTTATTACTACCATAGTAATTG